GTTTTGGAAATTTGTTACTTATGTGTATGAAAAGTACTAAATCGTACTATAATCGGTACAGTTTGGATTTGGGTGATCCTATAGAGCGGGAACAATGAAATTTGGAGTCAGAATCACTGTAGGGGTGTGTGATTGGGGTCAGGATTCAGTTTACGAAAATAATACTTATGAGTACTAAATGGTACTAAATTTGGTACAATTTGAATTTTAGGTGAACCAATAGAGCTAGAATCATGAAATTTGGAGCGAGGATCACTGTTGAGGTGTAGGATGGAGATATGTAGGAAGTTTTAGAAATTTCTACTAATGTGTACTAAATTTGGTACAATTTGATTTTTTGGTTGAACCGAAAGAGTTGGAATCTTGAACTTTTGATTTATGAACACTGCGGAGGTGTAAGATTGTGTAAGGAAGTTTTAGAAATTTGTACTAATGTGTACTAAATTTAGTACAATTTGAATTGTGGGTGAACCGAGAGTTGGAATCCTAAAACTTGAATTTAGTATCATTGTGGGGGTGTAGGATTGGGGTATGTGGGAAGTTTTGGAAATTGGTACTACTGTGTACTAAATTTGGTACAATTTGAATTGTGGGTAAACCGATAGAGTTGGAATCCTCAAATTTTGATTTAGGATCGCTGTGGAGGTGTAGAATTGGGGTATGTAGGAAGTTTTGGAAATTCATGCTACTGTGTACTAAATTTGGTACAATTTAAATTGTGGATGAACCGATGGAGTTGGAATCATGAAACTTGGAATTAGGATCAGTGTGGGATTGGGGTATGTAGAATGTTTTGGAAATTTGTACTACTGTGTACTAAATTTGGTACAATTTGAATTGTGAATGAACTGATAGAGTTTGAATCCTGAAAAATGGATTTAGGATCACTGTGGGGGTGTTGGTTTGGATTAAGTTGGATGTTTTTGAAATTCGTAGGGGAGAGGGGGGCACCTTTGAATGTGGGGCACCTTTGAACAGCGCTCATAAAATCTTGGTTTAAAATTTTTCCGACCCGCAACTACATTTTTGTATATGGCAATCTTGTTCTCTATCTGCGTAAACCACTTTGGCTATCTTTTTGAGTTGTCGACAAAATGTACATGGGTGACCATGTTTTCGCAGTGTCATTGTAAACATTTATTCATTTAGTTGTAAGGGCGCAGGAATAATTCTGTGATAGTTTCCTTTCGTCAAACAAATTTTTTGCATTCCAACAATCATTTCAAACATAACTAATGTAATTTCTTTCATATATATTTATTACAAAAAAGTTATTATAAATTTCCGTAAAATGCCATGGGTGGGGCACCTTTGAACATGCCCATTAAACTCGAGTAAAAAACGGAGTTTTTAAATTTTGGCTTCGATTTCTCAAAATTTCAAATGGACTAATAAGATTACGAAATTAACTGTATTTTTCACCATATTAATTTTTGTTTTTAAGTAATTTTATGTTTTAATAAATTTTGATCTATTTTTTTTAAATTTTGAAAATTTTTTATACATTTTTTAATGAATAAATGCATTTCTGATATGTATGAATAAAATACATACATATTCAAACATAAACACTGTAAAAAACCATGTCGTTCAAAAATGACAACCCTTGTTCAAAGCTGCCCCCCCGGGGGGCAATTTTTGAACACTTTGACTTCGTCCATTAAAACAGTAATAAAATATATTTATCAAGCTTATAGTATGTCATATGTATGTTCATTTTAAAGGTTACATATGTACCTATTACTTAAAATTTATACGAAACCAAAAATTATATAATAAAAAAATTTATAAGGCTTGAAAGCAAAAAGTGTTCAAAGGTGCCCCCCTCTCCCCTACTACTACAAACCCCAGTCATTTCATTTCCTGTATGATTCTTCGAACAAAAAATTCGGACAGAAACGACAGCCTAGAACAACAAACTAATTCACTCCTCAGATTATTTGGATAATTCTCCTTTGACGGATGAGAAAAATGCTATGGACCCCACGGTAATCAATTTGACAACCTCTAGTCAAAACAAACGGTCTCATATAGAAACTATATATTGACAATGTCTCTATAAAGTCTCAAATGCAAAAGAAAAAGACTGGGCTTCAAATAGAATTTTTCGGCAACCATTTTTTTCTGGTTGCTGTTTAGTGATGTTTAGCAATAAAAACTGAATTTTTTAGGCTTCCCATAATGGTTAAAATTACTACTAAACTTTTAAACTAAAGTAGCCATTCCTATTTAAATATAAATCGTGAACATCTTTTTTTGGGCTCATGATCAGCCTTATTCTGGATATTCGCTGGGAGATATATCTCGCATGTAAAAAAATTTCGCTTTCACATTCTCGCCGTATTCTGAATGAATAGGGAGACACAAAAAATGCGAGATGCGGCTTAAAATTCAGATCAAAATTTATTAAAACATAAAATGACAAAAAAAAACAAAAATTAATATGGTGAAAAATACAGTTAATTTCGTAGTCTTATTATCCCATTTGAAATTTTGAGAAATCGTAGCCAAAAGTTAAAATCTCCGCTTTTTACTCGAATTTAATGGGCATGTTCAAAGGTGCCCCATCCGTGGCACTTTACAGAAATGTCGAAGGGTCGGAAAAAATTTAAACCAAGATTTTATAAGCCCTGTTCAAAGGTGCCCCCGTTCAAAATGTGTCCCCCTCTCCACTATAGAAAACTGTTTTAAAATTTGGAACGGATTAGATTATTAGTTTTCAATTTTTGGGCCAGCCTTCAAATCCCAGTTAGGATTCTTCGAACAAGAAAATTCGGGCAGAAACAAAAGCCTAGAAAAACAAACTAATTCACTCCTCAGATTATTTGGATAACTCTCCTTTGATGGATGAGAAAAATGTTGTGGACCCCACCGTAATTAATTTGACACCCTCTAGTCAATACAAACGGTCATATATAGAAACCATATATAGACAGAGTCTCTATAAAGTCTGAAATGCAAACGCTGGTTCTATACGTAATACCAAGTAGTGTAGAAAGTTAAATCACATTGCAACGGTTAAAAAATTCAAATAACTAAAAAATTAAAAAAGAACAAGAATAAAAATAAATACAAAAACACATTAAATCATTAATTATTAATTAATAAATGACAACATATTTATTTTCGTTTTTTAAAGTAATTTTATATATAGGAAGAAATGTTGGTTTTGTGAAGAAAATTAAAATAGAAAATGGAAAATATTTTAACACAAAAAGTAAAAAAAGAAATAAATACAAATTAAAAAATGTATGTTTCATTTATTTTAATTACCGGCTATCATCTATGTATAGTTTTTGTTTTGTTCTCTAAACATGAAATGTTTTTGTTGTTGTAGACAAATATAAATATGTATACAATTTACTTTAGGACGTAGAAGTAACAAGAGACGGTCCGTCGTCGTGTCCAAATTGTCAGTCGATTTTTTGTCATTTTTTTTAATTTTGTTATAATGTTGATATTGAATCGCATGTAATTCCGTTATGATAAGTCATAAAACGAGGGCATGTATTTTTGATTTTCAAATTTAAACAACATATTTTTGTTATTAATTTGTAACAAGAATTAATTAAATTATATCACACACATGTTACTCCACCAAAGAGCGAATTTGTTTTATTGAATTTTGATTAATTAAAATTGAATTTATTTTCAATAGCAAGTATGAATGCGCCCTCATTTTGTGATTTTTAAATTACATCAATTCAATATGCATTACATTTGTGGCTGGTCTGTCTGTCTAATTTTTGGAAACTAAAAAAAGATTTTGTAATTTGCTATCCCTTATTTTGAAATAATTTATGAAATGTTTATATAAATATAAACAGTCGTTTATATATAAACCTTTCATAAAGGAAAATAAAGGCTTCCTTTGTTTGTCGTCTATTTGAAATTGTTTGTCTGTCCGTTTTTCCCCTAATTTTGTTGTAGTGGATCGTCGTCATCATTAAAAATTAGAAGGATTTCAATTTTTGTTGTTTTGTTTTTTAATTATTTTTTTTTTATTTTGTTTTTTTCTTTTTTTCTGGTTTGTTATACTGAAATTTTACATTACTATAATTGTTGTAATTAATGTTTATCATCTCTTTCTTATTTTTAATTTGATGATGATTCTTTTCTTTTTCTTGTTATCATCATTTATGTTTTGTTTTTGTTTTTCGGTTTTCTCTTTTTTGTTATAAATGTAGCCTGTGGCTAAAAAGTGATTCCTTTTTTTGTTTTAACTATAATTAATAATAATGGTAATTATTTTTGTTGTAGTTTTTTTTGTTTTTAATCAATTTATCTTTATATATGTATATATTATTTTATATTTAAAAAGTTTAAAAATGTTGTTGTGTTTGTTGTTGTTTGTTCTTGGGATTAGTAGTAATAATAGTTGTGGTTGCAGTATTATTATTTTTGTTGTTGTTATTATTATTATTGTAAATGGATGAAGGCGCCGTCAATGCGACAGACGACGATGTGGCCGAATAGCCGGATGACGGTGAAGATAACACTGATGGTGACGACGTCATAGAGGCCGTAACAACAAGTGGTGACGAAGACATGGTTGCAAATGTTTTTATAATTGTTTCAGCAGCAGCGGCTGCAGCAGCTGCCACAGCAGCAGCACTTGTTGCAGCCGTAACCGTGTGCTGTTGTTGTTGATGATGATGATTCTGTTGGTGGTTGGGGTTGTGTTGCTGTTGTTGGTGATGATGATGGTGGTGATTATGGAGATGGTGGGGATGATGATGTTGGTGGTGTTGTTGTTGTGAGAGAACATAATTGGATTGGCCATGGGAATGCGTTGCCAAAAGCTGTTGTTGTTGCAACAAATCTTGATTTATTGTAGTTGTTGTTATAGCAGAAGAAGTATTATGGGAGTGATTCTGGTGTTGATTCACAACAGAATGTTGTTGTATTTGTGGATATTGTTGTTGTTGCTGCTGGGATGGAAAAATTGTATTTTGATTTGGGGATTGTTGTTGCTGTAACTGTATCTGCATCTGTTTCTGCTGCTGCTGTTTTTGTACAGCATGTTGCTGCTGTTGCTGATGGTGCTTCTGGTAAAGTTGCTATGCCAAACGTGGTTTCTTTTGATGTGGTGTATCTTCTTCTTCGTCCTCTTCTGCTTCATATTCATCACCCGAATCACTACCATAATCAACAAGCTGCAAAGAGAGAGAGAGAGTAAAAAGGACAAATTATTACAATGAATTTTTACAGTTTAAAAATCGATTAAAAAAATATTTTTTTAGGTGGTAAAATTGGTGAAAATTTTTTAAAAGAATATTTTTTTTCAAGGGTTAATTTTGGCGTGGATATATTAAAACAAATATTTTCAGGAGCCAAAATAGGCGTGGATTTATTAAAGAATATTTTTTCAAGATCCAAAAAAGATGTGGATTTATTAAAGAATATTTTTTCAAGATCCAAAAAATATGTGGATTTATTAAAGAATATTTTTTTAATGCATTTTTTAAAGAAATTTTTTTTTTTTCGAGGGTAAGGAAAGTTGTGAATTTTTTCAAAATATTTTTCCAGGGCTTAGAAAAACGGGGATTTTTTAAGAATATTTTTTCAAAGTCCTTAATAGGTGTGGCTTTTTTAAAGAATATATTGTCAAGGACCAAAATAGGCGTGGATTTTTTAAAGAAGATTTTGTCAAGGACCTAAATAAGCGTGGATTTTTTAAAGAATATTTTTTCAAGAGCACAAAAAAAGGCGTGGATTTTTTAAACAAAATTTTGTCAACGACCAAATAGGCGTGTAATTTTAAAAGAAGATTTTGTCAAGGACCAAATAGGCGTCTAATTTTTAAAGAAGATTTTGTCAAGGACCAAATAGGCGTGTAATTTTTAAAGAAGATTTTGTCAAAGAGCAAAATAGGTGTCGATTTTTTAGAGAAGATTTTGTCAAGGACCAAAATAGGTGCGGATTTTTTAAAGAATATTTGTTCAATGACCTATATAGGCGTGGATTTTTCAAAGAATATTTTTCCAAGGATTTAGAAAGGCGTGGATTTCATAGGAATATTTTTCCAAGGATTTAGAAAGGCGTGTATTTCTTAGGGATATTTTTCCAAGGATTTAGAAAGGCGTGTATTTCTTAGGAATATTTTTCCAAGGATTTAGAAAGGCGTGTATTTCTTAGGAATATTTTTCCAATGGCGAAAATAGGCGTGGATTTTTTAAGAATATTTTTCCAAGAATTTATATATGTAGTTGACCTCTTAAAGGCCTGTAAAATTCTTGAAGAAGGAATAATATGTGACAAAGAAGCCTTCTGCATATAGTCGATCTCCAGAAGAGATATCACTTGAGGATGATATATCAATAGAAGACAAGTTCAATTCTATCTCTTCTATCTTGAAGGTATTTTACCTGCAGAAAATCTATTGAAGGCCTTTTATCTGTAGAAGTCCTCAAGAAGGTATTATATTTGTATGACTTCTTAAAGTACAAATATCTGCAAAAATCCTCTTGAATATCTTCCATCTTATGAAATATCTTCAGAAAGGTAAAGGTGGTCTTCTACAAATAGAAAATCTCTTGAAGAAAATCTCTTCATTTTTTTCAAGGTCTATTATAGGTCTAAGAATATTTCCAAGGTATAATATTTTTTCATGGGCTTGGACTTTTTAATGCATATTTTTATGCTTTTCAAAGCTGAGATATTTTTTAAGAATGTTTTTCATCATCTATACAAGGTGCTGGCTTTTTAAAGAATATTTTTTTTAGAGCCAAAGAATATTTTTTAAAGAGCCAAAGAATATTTTTTTAATATCTAAGAATATTTTTTCAAGGGCTTGGACTATTTAAAAATATTTGTGTAAGGTCTACGAATATTTTTTCGAGGGCCTGGACTTAAAAAAAAGTCTTTTTCAAGTTTCTTTAAATGTTATCTTCCTCCTTACCTTCTTTAGAATATTTTCGCCTGGTAATGTTGTTGTGGTTGTGTTTCCTCCTGCTGGTGTTGCAGTTGACGATGATGACGATGATGTCGGCACTGCCTCCTTATTATTATCCGTTGTTGTTGCTGCTGCTGCTTGTGTGTTTGCTGCTGCATTATTACAACTATTAAGTTTATTCGCTTCAACACTGGCCGCTACAGCAGCTACTGCGGCTGCTGCAACCGCTGCCACAGCTTCATTTGAGGCCATTGTCGATAGCAATTGTGTTGCGGCCGCAGCTGCAGCTTCTGTCAGAGCACTTGTTGATGGACCAGCCGTCGATGATGATGATGAAGTCGGTGATGTTGATGATGATGCTGACGATGGTGATAACGTTGCATTTGCTGCACCGGCAGTCGGTGAATTTGCCGTTGCTCTATCATCGCTACCAATTGCCGTTGCACTGCCACTGCCACCACCACCTAACGCCGCCAATTCCTGTTGCTGTTCAACTGCTGCCAATTGTTGTTGTAATTCCACAATATCACTTTGTTGTTGCGTCTGTTGCGCTTCCAAATGCGCTGCAGCCGCTGCCGCCGCCGCTGCTGCTGCTGCCGTTGATGTACTAGCCGCTGCTGATACACCAGCCACAGCAGCTGCGGCCGCTGCCGCAACTAAAGTGCTATTCAGATTCAATTGTTGTTGCTGCTGCTGTTGCTGTTGATAGCTATGCAGTGAGTGAGACGACTGTTGTTGCTGCTGTTGTTGTTGATGTTGTAAAGATAAATTTGCTGCTGCTGTCGCTGAGGCAGCACCCAAATGAGCGGCGGACGTTTGCTGTTCACTACTATTGCAATTACTACTACTAGTACTGCTGCTGTTGTTGGAGCTGGGGGCATTATTATTGCTGCTTGTGGAGGGTGTTGTCTGTAGGCCTGCATTATTGTCACCAAGTGCTGAATTACTGCAGCCAACGCCACCACCACCACTACTACCGGTTGATGTATGATTTGATGACGTCGTCGCGGTTGCTGTACTGTTCAAACTATTGGTAGATTGACTACCACTCAACATACTGTTACTGGTGTTATGCTGTTGCTGCTGCAGTTGTTGTGCATTTTGCGGCGGTGATTTTTGTTGTATTTGCTGCTGAGATGTGGGTGAACCATTTTTATCTGTAACAGCTGTGAAGGAAAAAGATGAGGGAGCGTTATTATTAAAATGTTCAAAAAGTTTTTTTTTTATAGGAGATCTCATTAAGTTAGTCTATCTGTTAAACAACTCTTGAGTTTTTGGAGTAGTAGATGTATAGTGGCTTTTGGAACCGATCATGGTCTTGTGGCTAGTTTCCCATTTATAATAAAAATAAATAAAAAAATTGAATAATGTAGGCCTCTTATATATTCAGAAGACATCTTAAATGTCGGTAAAAGTCACCAAGAATTTCTGTAAAGATTCTGAGGAAGGTCTTCTGAATTTACTCTACTTATTCAAGTCTACTTGGAAGCCTTCTATATCTATAGAGATTCTCTTGAAAGCCTTTTATCTATTGAATATATTGAGCCAACCCTAAAATTTGAAATTTTGCAGTATAAGGTTTCTTTTAATAAATTCAGATTTAATAAAGCTATTATTATTATGAAATTTAGAACTATAGTTTTGTTATAAACTAGTTTTGTTTTATCTGTAGAAGTTCTCAAGAAGGTACTATATTTGTATAAGACTTCCTAAAGTACTTATATCTGCAAAAGTCCTCTTGAATATCTTCTGTAGAAGACCTCTTGAAGATATTCTACCTTAGGAAAGTCTACAAATATCTTCAGGAAGATAAAGGTGGTATTCTACAAATAAAAAACCTCTTGAAGAAATTCTATCATTGAAGTCCTTATGTAGAAGACTTCGGAAATTTTATATCAATATATAGAGAGTATTCTAGTTTTAGAGACTTTTTATGTCCAAAAGACTTCTAGAACCTATTCTACTTCTAGAAGAGGTATTCCCCATCTGTAGAAGACTTCGATAAGGTCTTATATGAATAGAAGAACATGAGAAGATTTTCTAAATTTAGAATATCTAGTATCAACAGAAGACCTCTCAAAGGTTTCCTAACTTTCAAATACCTCTTGAAGGTTGTCTAACTAATCCCTAACTCCTGACGATCTTCGTGTATATATTAATGACCTATATATTCTGAACAACAAAAATTTCAATTCAATTACTCACACTTCATGACGGAATTATATGTTTCCAATTCTTCCAGATCTTCTTCTTCATTAAACCACATTTCTTCCTCCTCCTCCATTTGCCTTTGATCACGACGAAAACGACCGCCACGAATAATTGGAATGCCACTACAAATTTTAAAAAAAAAAAGTATTTTCGTTAATAAAAATTGATTCAAAAATTAAATGCTGGCACTTACGTATCTAAACCCATCTTATCGCGATCTTTTATTCGCTCCTGATACTGATCGTAACGATTCTTAAGATATTTAAATGTCTGAACATATTCGATTTCATCAAATATTTTGCTAAATGTTTCAACAAAATACACACACAATGTCTTGATGTCTTCCAATTTGACAAATTCGAATAGTTCCAAAATAGCAGATTCGAGGAGATTATAACGACCATTGTTGCGTATAAAAGCATCGACAACGGGTGCAAATAGATTACCCTTGACAATGTGCCTGCAAAAAACAAGAAATAACAATTAATTTTGATATTCATATACCTTGTGTTTTAAGAAAGCAGTGTTTCTCCTTACCGATTATAAAACTCATCCTTTAATGCTACAATTTTTCTTAATAGCCTTAGAGCGCCTAAAACAAGGAACGTATGAGAACTCTTCATCAATACCAGAATTCTCTTGAGGAGATCTTTTTGGATGATAAAATTCTTGATGTGATAGGTATGATGTTCGACACAAAATGATAAAATATCTAAAACTATTCCCAATAATTGTGCTGTTTGATAATCCTCGTTTTGCGGACGATCATCGATTGTGTTGAGCAACAAAGGTGCTGTAAAGAAAAAAACCAAAAAACATTAAAATAGCCATACAAAAAATATCGAATTCTGTTTGCAAAACTTACCTATCAAAGTTTGTATACTGTGTTTATAGAAGAAATTCAAAAAATCACCCTTTTCAGTTAACATATTTTCCGGTTCCAATAGAATTTTTATGATGCCCATTAATTGCACAGCAACACCCAATTCTGGTTCGGAATCATTCAACATTTGTTCAATGGCAATGTTTAATAACATACGGTCCTATAATTGGCGGAAATAGAAAAAAATATTTCAAATTAGTAAATTGAATTCATGTGGAGAGGAAATGATTTTGTTTTTTTCTGTTGAGGGGGAAAGTAGGGAGCTGAGGAGGGGGAAATAATGTATACGCACACCACTACCGTCGCTCATCAAACTTACCCCTTCAGTACGACTCACTTGTTGCAGCGTATAATTACGCACTACCAACGGTGAAAACTCCACAATCGCCGTCAATATATCGATTGATGCCGCCTTTGTCTTCTGATCGTTCATCACCAGCGTAATTTCCAATGCCTGCAGTATACCCAGACATGTCAGGGTCTTGTAAAACGAATCTTTACCCTGTGGCTGTAGATTTTGGGCATAATTACAGAACTCCTTCAGAAACAGGACTATGTCACGACGCTTTGCGTCACTGGTATTTGGATCGGTCAACATGGTAAACATATCGACCAGAAAACGTTCATCCTCTTGTATCAGTGTGACAATTTCGACTTTGTTAAAAAATATAAAACTAGATAAAGTATTTAACATATTATCCTCGACGAATACCGATGGCGTGGGCAATATAATATCCTGTATATACTGCACACGAAATGTCTGATGGATTTTCGCCAATAGGTCTTGATTCTTAATGGGTACGGCTTCACGGAATTTAGCCCATTGCTTTAAATACTGACGATGTTTTTTCGGTTGTGTGGCACTCGGATCATATTCGAGACAGCCGACCACATCGAAAATGGTATCCTCGGCGAACATAATTTCGAATAGGGCATTTTTATTAAGCAGAAAAATATTCTTAAATATTTCGAATAGATGATGCAGACCCTCGGTATTGTCCAAATCTTCGCATACATGAAATATGTTTAGCAATTTTTTTATGTAGTTTTCCGATTCCAAGGCCATGGAAAGTTTTTCTTTACGCAATGGTGTGGTCAGACAATTCTGGATAACTTCAGAGATATCTTCGAGGCGGGCCAATTCACAGGGTGGCAATTCAATAGGCGGTGCTGTATCGGACATATCTTCGAAACGTTCATCTTCGGATTCTTCAACGATGTCTTGGGTAATTTCCACGGAAGGATCTTTGCCTTGGACCTGGTAGTGTTGTGTGAAAAGAGAGAGAGAGAGGAGAATAATTATTATTTGTTATATATAAAAATTAAATAGTTTTTTGAATAGATTTGAAAACACACAAATATGACATAGAGAGATTGATTTGCCAAAGAGGATCAAAAGGTATTCCTAGAAGAGGTATAAATAAATTATAATAGGAGTCTAAAATTATACTGCTATAAGGCTAAAGGAATGCCAAAGGGGTCTTTTATAAAAGAAGACCTAAAAGTATTCCGAAAAGTGGACCTGAAGGGATTTTTAAAGAGGACCGAAAATTATTGATAAAAAAGTCTGTCAGTTTGTATCCCTAATGAAGGCATATATGCTTTAACGTAGAGGACCTATATTTTAGAAGAATGTCAAAGGGGCCTTTTAAAAGAAGACCGAAAACTATTCTGAAAAGAGGACCTGAAGGGTTTCTTAAAGATACCGAATGGTATTGATAAAAAAAAATCTGTCACTTTGTATCCTTAATGAAGGCCTATATTCTTTAACATAGGGGACCTATATTTTAGAAGGTCTAATAGCATTCTTGAAGAGGACAAAAAAATCTTCATAAAGGATATCAAATCCATCTACTTAAGGAAATATATTGTAATAAAAATCAGAATATCTTTTTTAAGAAAAACACTAGACCATTTCAAAAGAAAGCTTACGACCTTTAAAGGATATATTCTCAAAGAGGAATAAAAGATATTCACAATGAAGAACAAAAGGTAAAGGAACGAAGGGTATTTTTAAATGTCATAAGGTCATTTAAAAGTTGCCTTCTTAAAGAGAAAGAAAAGAAGAAGGAAGAAGAAGACAAAAACTAATTCTTGAAAGTGAGTAGAAGATCATCATAAAGGACAACAAAGGGTCTGCTAAGTATTCTTAAAGAGCAACAAAAGGTCAACCAAAATGTATTCTTAGAGGATACCAAAAATGCATATTAAAGGAGACCATGGGTTCTTCTTAGAGGATACCAAAAAGGCTTCTTAAAGGAGACCAAAAGTTCTTCGTAAAGAAGGCTATAAGTTGATTAATAAGTATGTCTTCTTAAATGAAGTCGGTCGATACCTTCTTAAAGTGGACCAAAGAACCTTCTATAAGAAAGCTAAAAAGTTCCTCCCAAAGGTGTTCGAAAATACTTTAAAGAAAAGAGCAAAATAGAGGTTCAAAAGATATTTAAAAATCCTTCCAAATAAAGGCTAAAAGGTCTTCTTGAAGGAAGCCAAAATACCTTCTTAAAGTCGACCAAAGGACCTTCTATGAGAAAGCTAAAAAGGTCCTCCCATTATTCGATTATCTTTTAGAAGGGAAGCATAAAAAGTATTTTAAACATATCTTCATAATGTAGACTATAGATATTCTTAACGAGGACCATCAGCAGGTCTTCTTAAAGAGGACTTATTAGCCTTCATAAGGAAAACAAAGGAAAATGTATCTTCATAAAGTGAACTAAAATGTCTTCTTAAAGAGAACAAAAAAGTATTTTTAAATAGAACCAAATGTCTCAAAAAATGTTCCATTCATATAGTAGAGGAACGTGTTTTCATGTAAACCACCAATATGTCTTAAAGTTCTACTTATAGAAGAACAACAAGGATGATCAAAAGGTCTTCATATTATAGAAGGTCAGAAGGCCTTCTTATAGGAAAAGACGAAGAAGAGTTTATTATGTTTTGGATCCAAAAGATCAAAAAGTCTTCCAATAGAAAAAAATGTCTTCTTATTCAAGATTGAAGTGAAGTCTTTCCAATTGGGTGACCAAATGTCTTCTTTAAAAAAAAAACACAAAAATGTATTCTTGTCGAAAAACAAAAGTTCACATTCTAGATAACCTGAAGGTCTTCTTTTAAAAAACCAAATGACTTTTTCTCGAAAACAAAAAATTCATCTTTTGGATATCTAAAAGGCCTTTAGGTCTTCTTATAGGGATAATTTTATATAATTTTGGATATCTAAAAGGCCTTTAGGTCTTCTTATAGGGATCATTTTTTTATAATCAATTTCTTATTATAACAACTCACCTGACATATTTTCTCCCATATTTCATCGCAGCCGGCCTTCTCTTGGAAACTTAAGGCTAAATCAAAATTATCACCTTCAGACCAAACAATTAATGTGTCCTGTTGCTTTTGATAAGCGGTGTCGGGTTGGATTTTACTTTCCAAAAGTAAACTACCATCGGATTCAGCGCGTACCAGCAACGAGATACCTTCAATGGGAGGATCAATACGAAAAGAAATAAAAAATAATTAAAATGAAAATTAAATAGCTAATAAAAATAGTGTAACTAACCTTTCAGTCTGTCGACATAATTTGATGAAACATGACCAGTGCCACGATCATCCCATTGACGTTCTGCATTTAGAGCATATAATTTGACACGTCGGCGGGTATCGGTAGTCATTTTGATATATATTTTTGTTTGTGTTTGTTATTTTATATAATTTTTTATAGTTTATACAATATTTTATTTTGTATACAATTACAATATTGATGATAATGAAATTGATGATGGGTTGTTGTTGTTGATTCGATAATAAACTAATTTAATTTAAAAAGAAATTAAACCGTCCGTCCTCTTCCAGCTTTTCTTATTCTTATTATTGTTGTTTTTGAGAGGGTTCTGTGCCTGCAGCTTGTTATAGATTATATGTATACGGCAACTATTTTGGTTTTTTGTGCTATCTCCTTAGCTATTGGAACCGAAAAGTCATGAGTGGATGGATGGGGGGTTTGTTTCTTTAGTTTTTAGTGTTTGTCCTAGCGTTCCAACAGGTGGCACACGTGTCAAGTTATTTTTGATTGGGGTATTAATCTCCGTAGTAGTAGTGGTAGTAGTTGGCCAAACACCAACTCTTAACTCTCGCCTTGAGAGCTTGGTGTTTGTTTTACTTTGGAATCCAATGGATTTAAGAACTTTGTTCCTTTTTCTTATAATATTTCTAAGAAGAATGTAGCTTGGTTTACTTTACTTTTGGATAGTAGTGTTATCGTATAGAAATATGTGTTTAATAAAATGTGAACTTAATGACCATTGTATTGTATTGAATTCAAAATTCAATGAGATTGAGATTTACTCATTTAAATAGATTAAATTAAACATTTTCTCTTGTTTATAAAATTCAATGTGGCAGAAAGTTTCCTTAATTTGTTTTCCCATTAAGCTATGAATTGTGTGGACCACATTTAGATGGGTGGCGGGTTTTTTTTTTAGAATCTGCAAAGAGAAGAAAGTAAAAAAAAATTACATTAATAATTTAATAAAAAGTTTCAAACTGTAAATATATTGGAAATTAAAAAAATTATTTTAATTAAAAGAGATTTGCCATAAGAAATTAATCGACTTCCTTGAAGAGGTAACAAAATTAAATATTCCAGATTTTTTAAAGATAAAACCAAATTAGACCAAGAAGCGAAATTGGTCCAAGGACAAATTCATGGAAATTCTTGCAATTTTTCTCTGACCGGTTCTTCCAATGGTTGCTTCCTCTTCTCATTTAAACAATAGCAGCAAATTACATTCCATTGCTGCGATGTTTCAATATATAGTTTTTACACAACTTTGTGAAATATATTTCAAGTGCCGGCTAATTCTAATAATATTAATATGACAGCAGCACATTTATTGACCCTTTACTTTTAAATTATACAAGAAAAATGAAAAGAATTTTACAAAATGTCAATTGTAAGCGAGTAACCACGGCAACAATCGTAATGACAATTACTAATCAACGTAACGCGCCGCTGTGACGTATACATAACAAATGAGTTATGAGCACCACCACAATAAAAACGTCTTACGTTTTGCGTCACATAGACTACTTGTGAGAGTATTCATTTTGTTATAGAATATTTCTTCTCAAGAGGAAACAAGGTATATTTAATAAGGTTTTATATTTGCCGCATCGGGATCGGTGTTGAGAGTATCTCTCTCTCAGTGGTAAATTGTGAATTGTGTTGAAAACATTACCACAGGTAGGAACAAAAAATTAAAAAACAAAATTACTTCAAATGATAATAAATCATAATTATCGAGAAATATTGGCCAATATTTATACCAGTTATTTGCATAAATAATATATGTTATAATTTAAAAAATGTATTCACGAATAATAAAAAATCTAATTTTTGTTTTGGTACGTTTATGTCAATTTGACCTTTTGTGAACAAAAAGTACGCTTGTTACAAAATTAATAATAGCGCAACTCTAATTATCTCTCTCAAGAGAGAGAACTCTAAATGTCATTGTTATAAAACCACGCTAAGGAAATAAAAACATTTGAAATAACATCGCTCGCTCTCTCTCTTTCGTCTCCCAAAGTAAGACAATTCTGGGCCAATAAAAACATGTTTAATTTTTGCATAGTTGTAAGAAAACATTATTACAAGAGTGAAAACATTTAAAATAATAACGTCGCTCGCTCTCTCTCTCTCTCTCTTCACCCAAAGTAAGACGATTCTGGGCAAATATAAACATGCAAACATTATTACAAAAGATAAGAGAGGGGATAAAAAAATAAAAGAAATGTGAAAACAACAATAAATACCACAAAAAATATCTGAACATACACACAAATATTGGTACAATACAAAAAAATACAACACACATCCAACCATCAAAAACAAAAACACCATCATACCATACTCTCCTCTATGAATGAAATTTGTGAAAGCTTAGCGTAATAACGCCAATGAAAGAAAAGAAAACAAAAAATAACAAAACGCAACAATCGCAAAAAATACAAATACACACATATATATATACAAACATACTGCTCGTAACGTAAATTTTGCAACGATGGGTATCGGTGTTGTATATTGGCGTTCGTCCGTTTGTTTGCTTGCTTGTGGCTTAGGCAATAAAATATGAAAAGCCGCCAAACTAACAGATAAAAAAATAAATAAAAAATGCCGACAACACACATATACATACATTCGTGCACACTGAAATGTCAACAGAATCGCAAAAAACAGACAGATTTGTGAGTATTAATTTATCGTCATAGAAAAAAAACAACAATAAATCGAAATAATAATAATGACGTATGGAAGGGGTGTATCAAGGTATATTTACCAGGTAACCGTATCGAGCCAGGTGATGGTAACATTATATGTCACAACAATTTTTGATGTTTGAATTCGCCGTAAAAAAAACTATTTCAGAGAACATTTCTTTTAAATAAATACAAATAATAAAGTCTTCGATATGAAGACGTGTTGCCTTCTAGAATGGAAGTCCTGCTGTATTTAATATGGTACAGAACCACGATTATGTTGTGTAGTAAAGAGGAATTGTTGGTCCCAAAGACAAAATTGTGAATAACTTTCGGTACTACATAAAAAGAATTTGTGGTCTTTTATTGAACTATTAGCGTTTTGATTTGAGATATGTTTGTCTTCTAGAGATATTTTGGTTTATTATAATTATACATTATAATCTTTTATACAAAGGCATTTTGGTACATTTCAAATATAATTATATCCTTCATGGTCAGGTAGTTCTATATTGAACCTAGAGATTAATTCGTTTATTTGGCGGTGAGGGTATGTTCCGATCCGAAACGATAGCTTCCACACATTCTTTTGATAAAGATGTTACAACCATATAAACAATGAAACCAAAATCACTTTTTGAAAATCTATTATTGAACATCAATCAGGCAGAATTCAATAATATTTCTTGATTTTGGACTTTGGTATTTAAAAAAATCTGTCAGTTGCTCCAGCTTCCATGTAGTAATACGCTCGATTTCGGTTGTAATTTCACAATTTTGAATATAATGCAATATTTTGTTAAGTCTTGACCACTCAGATGCATTAAAAAACTTCCGAAACTATGTTGTTTGTCGGTCTAGTTCTTTGCATACCAAAAAATTATCCATTGCAAGCCATTTTTAAATATTTTTTAAAAGATTTTATCCCTTGCGTCATTTTTAATTCATAGGTACTTTATTTGAGAAAAATTATGGAATTTTAAAAATATAAACAAATATTTTTAATACTTCAAAAATTCTGTGTTCTGATTGGTGGAAATAATTCGCTTCAAATGTTATATGTCACTGTGAATTAATGTACATTCGCTTTGTTTACAAATTTTGACATATCATGTTACCAATTCGCCGATGCGGCTACCTTATATATCTACCTTGGGGTGTATGAATACAAAAGAAAAAAAAGCACTGTGTTGTGAATAACAAATTTAAAAAAATATGTTTGGTCATTTGGGTATTAACTGTTTTATGAAAAGAAGTGCGTAAAAAAGTACTTTTCCACTGACACCAATTAGTATAAAGTAAGGTAATATTTGAATCAAAACGTGTTTTAATAAAACTATCCGTCATTTTCTTTGCAAATGTGAGAAGTAAATTGCATATTTTATAAAGAAAAAAAAAAGATTTGATCTAGACATAACCTCAAAAATAGCCCATTTTTTAAAGGATTCGAAAAAAATAGCAAAATAACTTTGAAAAACACCAACTAACATGGATGGTTGGACTTCGGGCCGCCAAGTGCGACAGGATGAATGTGATGCCATTTAAAAGTATGTTTTTTTTTAGAGAGGAAGACCAAAGGGTGTTCTTGAAGATAGTCAAACGATCTTCATAAAGTGGACCAAAGGGCCTTCTAATAGAAACCTAAAAGAAAATCCCAAATATGTCAAAAAAGGCTTAAAAGAAACAAAGCGAGAAACGAGAGGTCCAAGATTTATTCGCAAAACAGAACATGATTTCTTAATGAAGGATAAAATGTCTGACTAATTTGACACTAGTTGTTTGCTCTCTCTCTCTCTCTCTCTCTTTTCTTAATTATAATTATTTTTTAACTTAATTTTTATTAAGCAGCTGTGATTTAAAAATACCAATATTTGTTTCATTATTTTTTTTATTTTAAGAAACTCTTAAATTTCTCTAGAAAATATCAGATACCTTAAAAAAATTCCAGGGACCAAAATAACAAAAAACTCTTCATGTTAGGGACATGGGACACCTATAGTGTAATATACCTATAGATTCGTATTGACGAGCCCATTAAAGATATTGGGTGATGTCAATTCCCATGTGGAGAATTATTTTTCAACGGAAAAAATAAACGTTGATTTTTAACAGTTAAAAATGATTGTTATTTTTTCCGTTAAAAAAATCTCTTTTGGGATTTTTATTTTTTCCGTCAGAAATAAAACTCTTTTTGGGAGTTTTATTTTTTCCGTCAAAAATAAATCTCCCAAAAAGAGTTTTTTTTTCGTTAAAAAAAAATAATTAAAGTGGATTTTTTATATATAGGCCACAAAATAAGTTATTTTATGACTGATTTGATATTACTTATAACCGTTACGGTCCCTGAAAAATTCTACTCAATTCACAAATACTCCTTTAAAGTGACTGAGAGAAAGCACGCAACGCATATGGCAGAGGCGGCAGTGTTCATAGTTTTTTCATTAGTTATTTCATTAT